ATGTGTCTCTCTCACATCAATATTTCTCTGTTTCCTTCTCTCTTTTCCTCCCTCTCTCCCTCCTGCTCTGTCTGAAAATAAATGCAGAAATGTCCTCGGGTGTGGATTTAAAAAAAAAAAAGATTTCATCTTTAACCTTTTACATTTTAATTAGGATGTGTCCTGGTGTGGGCCTCTTTGGGTTCATCTTTTCTGGGATCCTCTGCATTTCCTGGACTTATATGTCTTTTTTCTTCACCACATTAGGGACAGACATTTTCTGTCATTTTTTCAAATAAGTTTTCAATTTTTTGCTCTGTCTCTTCTCCTTCTGGCACCCCCATGATTCAAATATTGGTACACTTGACGTGGTCCCAGAGGCTCCTTACACATTTCTCTTTTTTTTTTTTCTTTTTGCTGTTCCAATTAGGTGTTTTTTGCTTTCTTATATTCCAAATTGCTGATTTGATTTACAGCTTCATCTATTCTGCTGCTGATTCCCTGTAAATTATTCTTTTCTTCTTTTTTTTAATCCATACCCAAAGATACGTTTTCATTTATTTATTTATTTTTTTAGAGAGAGGAAATGGGTGGGGGGAGAGAGAGAAACATCAATGTGAGAAACATCGATCAGCTGCCTCCCATATGTGCCCAACCAGGGATTGAACCTGCAATCCAGGAATGTACCCTAACTGGGAATTGAACCAGTGACCCTTTGGTGCATGGAACACCACTCCAACCAGCTGAACCACACAAGCCAGGGCTCTGTAAATTACTCTTCATTTCTGTTATTATATCCTTTATTTCTGGCTGATCCTTTTTATGCTGTTGAGGTTTTTACTGAGTTCACTGAGCATCCTTATAACCAGTGTTTTGAACTCTGATCTGTTAGATTGCTTGTCTCCATTTTGCTTGTTTTTTGTTCTTGAGTTTGTTCTGTTCTTTCATTTGGGACATGTTTTTTTTTTTTTGGTCTCTTCATTTTGACAGCCTCCTGTGTTTGTTTCTATGAATTAGGTAGAGCTGCTTTGTCTCCCAGGCTTGATAGATTGGCATAATGTAGTAGGTATTCTGTAGGCTCCCTAATCACCCCCGCTGGGCCCTCGAGGCACAGTCTCCCTAATCACCCCCGCTGGGCTGTGACCACACATCTCTGACCACAGTGGAGGATCAACTGTGCAGAGGCCCACCCCACAGAGCAGGACTTACTCTGGTAGGGCTTTAGTGCCGACTGAGTCTGCCTTTGAGTGTGTCTCTTCTGACGGTTGTTGGGTGGTGATGTTTCAGCATGGTCTGAAGTTGTCCACTGGGTGCACTGGCTCTGAGGCCTCCCAGGATGGGCAGGTCAAGGTCAGCTTCCCCTTGGTTGGGCTACCTGGCTTGAGCTACAAGGTGATCTGCAGATGACTGCTGCTTGTGCTGGGCATGGAAGTACCCAGATGAGGCCAAGCTGTGAACCAAAGCTGGCTCTTGCTAGAGCTAGGCCTGGGGCTACTTTGTGAGAGGTGTGGGGCAGACTAAGGCCAGATGCTGCTTTTTTTTGAGGGATTTTAGGAAAATCTGAAGCTTGAGCCAAGACAAGCCATTCATATGGAAAAACCACGAGACAAAGCTTGAGTGGGCCTAAACATTGGTTGGGGTAGGGCCTCAGGGAATCACCAGGCTGGGGTGGGGTGGACGGAGATAGCCATGTTGATGGAGTCTCAGATGTGGCACCCTCCTGCTGGCTCTGTGGGGGAAGGGCTCATCAAAGGAGCTGTGGCTTCTGCCAGTACTTCTGTCTGGGAAAAAGCTGCTCCCTCAACTCTTGGTCTGATGTTGGACAATTCAGTTTCTCGTATGCCTCTGGTGCCTTTCAAGCTGCTACCCAACAGCTGGAGTTCAGGGGAGTGAGTCTGAGTAAGTTTGTGCATGGGCCCTCTAAGTGGAACTGCCTGGGGCTCTAGCAGTCCTCTGTTTCCCTCAGCCTCCATTCCCACTGTTTTTACAGCCAGAAGTTACAGAGGTCTCTTTCTGGCACTGAACTCTGGACTGGGGGTCCAGTGTGGGGCTGATACCCCTTGCTCCTTAAGGGGGACCTCCATGGCTAAGATATTCCTCCTGATTTTTATCGACCACACGTGAGTGTGGGACCAGTCCATTGTCTGTCTCTGCCCCTCCTACCAGTGTTGATGTGGCTTCTACTTTAATTCCCTAGTGTGGGTCTTTTATTTAACCAAATTTCAGGTGGTTCTGAATGATAGTTGTTCTGTAGTTTAGTTGTAATTTCATTGTTGTTGTGAGCGGATTCAAGTACCACATTTACCTACAATGCGGTCTTGACCGGAAGTCCTCCTTCACTCTCTTCTTAACACTACTGCCGTTCAGAGCCTTGCATATTGTCTTTTCCATTCAGAGTAAATCCCAGAGTCCTCACAATGACCTACGAAGCTCTACTTGATCTGGCTGCCTGTTACCATTTGACCTCACGTCTTACTGTTTCTCCCTGTTTACTTTACTCCAGCCACACTGACTTCCTTGCCCTATTTTAAACCTTTATTTCATAGCCCACCTCAGCACCTTTTCCCTGACTATGTTTTCCATTTTTTTCCTTTCAGCCAACTCCATCTTCTTCTAGTCTTTCTTTATCCAAATGTCATTTTCTCAGTGAGGCCTGTGATTTTTCTTCATCTCCCCTCTACCCACCTGGTACTCCAGAGCTTTCTTACCCTGCCCTACCCCACCCATCCCCACAGTGTTTACCACCTTCTAACATACTATATAATGTAATTATTTCATGTTTATATTGTCTGTCTTTTCTGTTAGAACATAATCTCCATGAGAGGGCAGAAATCATTCCCTCCCACCATTATATCATGAGCCCTTAGAATAGAGCCTGGCACATGGTAGGGTCTCAATAAACATTTGTCAACATCATTGAATCACAAAATAAGTCAAAGGCACAATAAATTGGATGGCTCTAACTAAAAAACAGTATAGGCTGTAGTGGAGAAAAATGTGTCCTAGTCATAGTTCTGTGTCATAAACCACACCCAAATTTTGTGGCTAAACCACTAATTTATTATTATCTCTCACAGTTTTGGAGGGTGGCAGGCTCAGCTGAGCACAGTTAGATGGTGGCTGAGACTGCAGTCACCTGAGGGCTCCTTCATTCCCATGACTGATACCTGTACGAGGATGGTTGGGAAGTTGGGGGCTGGCCAGACATCTCTTTTCCAGGTGGCATTTCCACTAGCCCAGCTTGAGCTCTCTCACAGCATGGCTGAATCATGATTTTTCATGTTACCTGGCACAGAGCAAGTGGCAACTGCAAGTCTTCTTGTAGCCTTAGATGCCACAGAGTTTTATTCAGCATTTGATATGGAAATATGGCTTACACATACAAAGATGACCTCCATCTTGAGGACAAGATCCCACAAGGGCAATGAACTTATGACATTATGAATAAACTGTTATAGGTTAAGCAGGATTGAATGGTAATTAAGATTAAGAATAACAATTCTGACCAGTTTGCCTTAGACAAGTCCTGACTTTACTGCACATTAGTTGTCTGTTTTGGGGCAAATTATAACCATTTGAGATTCAATTTCTCATCTGTGAAGTATGGATAAGTAATATTAGATTAGTAGACTCTTAGGCATACTTTGGTGGGAATGTTTGAGATACATTATTAAGGGAAATGAAAGTTGATCTAACCAAACTAATTATTTATATTAAGAATTACATTTCCAATCATCTTGGCTACAAGTTAACTGTTTAAAAGCAGAAAATACCAGTAATTGGTGACTCTAAGGTTTATGACCACAGAGAGATAGATGATCATTCAAGTCTTTAATTTGAACGTTTTCATAGATGATTTAAAAAGCCACAAAATCATCTTATCACTTAATTTTTATTGTTATGAGATATATATCTGATCGCTATCATATATAAAATATACTTACTACAAATGGATTTCTAATTTTGCTTACATATCTATTTTTCAGTAATATAAATGTGTTTATTGACACACTTGAGAAAAATTGTACTTCCTTCTTTGGGGTGCATTCTGTTACCACCTAACGGTCATCTCGTTAGCCCTGTGAGGCAGTGCAGAGTGGCTTTTCTTTTGGTACGTGCCCCTCGCAGGAACCAAACCCGGGACTCTCTGGTCCACAGGCCAGTGCTCCAACCGCTGAGCCAAACCAGCCAGGGCCAGAGTGGCTTTTCTAAACTGGTGCCAGTGTCTTGGAAGGGAAAGTCAGGAAAGGCAAAAGATGTTTAAAGTAACCAGTTGCGCCTGATGCTCTTACAAAGTAACTTTCAGTTAATCTGCTTCTCAATGTACATAAATGAAGTATTTCGGGATTCTTTTTGAAATTGTTTCCTAATCTTATGCCAAAATGTTAGTTCTGTTTGTACTAGGGACAATCCTAGTACATAAAAACCATGGACTAAACAGTTCTTTCTTTCATTAGTTCATATTAGCCTTGTGTAAGAATATAACTAACTTTGAGTTTTAATTTTTTTATTTATTATTATTCCTGAGTTCCTTTACTTTAATAGTGTACTTGAAGGACTACTGAACTAAAAGTCAGATGATGAGATTTTCATAATTTATATAATCTCTGTCTATTCACTTAACCTCTATATATAGTCTACCTTCTTTGTGGCATATTTTAAAGATGAAATGAAATGGGGAAATACTTTAAAAGAGTGGTAACAAATACTATATAAATACAAGGTATTATAATGGAAATAAGGTAGTTGTACTTTCCGTAATGTTGAAAAAATTAAAGACTTCAAAAATCTTTAAATTATTCTGGAAACCTTAGATGATATATGTATAGTACCAAAATCTAGATCTATAATGAGCATTTGTGAGGCACAGGGCATGGTGTCTATTGCTCCTGCCTCATTCCTTTAATTTTTTTTGTAGTTGTTGTTTTTATGTTTTTCAGCTAAATGTCCTTATTTCTGCCTCCCCAGTTTACCACCCAATCCACACATTTACCCACAAATACTTTTGTTTTTCTTAACAGGGAGCCACCATCAAGAAAGATGAACAGACTGGGGCCATAGTTGTGGCAAGAATCATGAGAGGAGGGGCTGCAGATAGAAGTGGTAAGAATTTAAATGTTAAGTGAATATAGACAAGTCATGTCACATTTTATATGTAATATGTGATATGTTGTTGTTGTTATTTTTCACCTGAGGATATTTATTTTTCATTGATTTTTTTTTTAGAGAGAGTGGAAGGGAGGGTGGGGAAGAAAGAGAAATCAGTGTGAGAAAGGTGCATGGGTTGGTTGCCTCCCGCACATGCCCCAGCCTGGGCTGGGGCTTGAACCTACAACCCAGGTAGGTACCCTTGACGGAATCGAACCAGTGACCCTTCAGTGTGCAGGCCAACACTCTAACCACTGAGCCACACTAGCCAGCGCTATATTATTTTTAATATATAACTAAGGAAATTAATCTTTTGTATAATACAGCAAAACAAGAAATAAAGTATCTCTGTCTTGACATATGAGAACCTACATAAATAAATGAGAAATAAATCTCTCTCTTCTGTCTTACTTTACATGGGCTTCTTCCAAGGTTACATTAAGATTTGCTTCAGTGTTTCTTGTTTGAAAGGTACTACTAAAAGCATGCAGCCTTTAAAAGAAAGTAAAATGATTTTATATGATGTAAATAATGTTCAATTCTAGACACTGAACAAAGAAAGACACTGCTATTGTCTTTCTTTGCCAGCATTATGATGTAGCCTTTGATTCATTGCTAGATAGATGCGTGGAATCTGAAACCAGAGAAGCATGAAGATCTTCTTCCTAATCCTCAGATGTGTTAAGGAAACCAAACAGTGCTTTAAATGTGGACACAATTGCAAATAACTGCTTCTTTTGACAGTAACACTTCTAATTGACTGAATTTGCTATTACTCAGGTCTTATTCATGTTGGTGATGAACTTAGGGAAGTGAATGGGATTCCAGTTGAGGATAAAAAGCCTGAAGAAATTATTCAGATTTTGGTAAGCTGACATTTTATTTTAAATTTGCAATATAAATATAATTGAATCACTATATTTCCAAATTGGTTATGAATACAGGATTTGGATTTAGTCCAAGGTTTGAATTCCAGCTCCATCACTTAATCCGTATGTGTCTTTGGAAAATACCTTAACATTTTTATTGCCTCAGTGTTTTCATTTACAAAATAAGAATAAGAAGAGGTAAATATCTCACTGGAGTGTTTTCAAGATTAAATGAGATAAAGAGTTTATTACAGGGCCTGTCCCAAATTAGGTATTTAATAGATGCCATCTTCTCTGTTTTTGGTGATCCATTTCTCTTTCTCTTTCTGCTATCAATATAGCCTATGCTTTCTAGTTATATAAAATAGTAAAGCTGCCCTAGCCGGTTTGGCTCAGTGGTTAGAGCACCAACCCAAAGACCAAAGAGTCTTGAGTTTGATTCTGGTCAAGGGCATGTACTTCGGTTGTAGTTTAGTCTCTGGCCCTGGTCAGGGTCCTGCGGGAGGCAACCAGTCGATGTGTCTCTCTCACATTGATGTTTCTCTCTCTCCCTTGCACTCTATCTGAAGATAAATGGAAAAATATCCTTGGGTGAGGATTGAAAAAAAATAAAAGAGTAAAACCAATTTAAATGTCTTATGAAATCTAAAGCAGAATTAAATTATTTTAGGCCTTGGCAATATTAATTCTTAAGTTCATTTGTAAGGAAAAATGAAAGGAAACTGTCCCTGTTACATATGAAAACATATTATGAACCTACAGGAATAAAGAGAAAGTTTTGTATTTCAAAGTGGACTTCAGTAGATATGTCAATTTTGTATATTATTATGATGGCATTTTTTTTTTATCCTCACCCGAGGACATTTTTCCATTTTTTGTTCAGATAGAGCGGGAGGGAGAGAGAGGAAGAGAGAGAGAGAGAGAAACATCGATGTGAAGGGACACATCGAGTGGCTGCCACCCACACGACCAACCAGGGCCGGGGACAAACTGCAACCGAGGTACGTGCCCTTAGCGGGAACCGAACCCGGGTCCCTCCGGACCGCAGGCCGACGCTCCAACCACTGAGCCAAACTGGCCAGGGCTATGATGGCATTTTATATTAGTGGGAAAACAATGAAATCATTTTGTAAATGATATTGGATTAATTGATGATTCAGTTAGAAAAAATAAAGTCAATCCCTATTTTATACCACACACAAAAACAAATCCCAACAAATTAAATATTTAAGTTTTAAAAATGATGCAGAAAGTTGAGAAAGACTTTAATGATGGAAAATTCAAATAGAAAAATAACTGATAGGACTATAGATTTAAAAACTCTCTGAACAGAAAAAGACGTCATACATAAAACTTAGACAAAAGAGCACTGACAGATGTGACTGAGTGGTTAAAGTGTTACCCCATGCACTGAAGGGTTGTGGGTTCAATACCTAGTCAAAGGCACATACGTGGCTTGTAGTTTTGATCCCCAGCCCTGGTTGGGGCATGCGCGGGAGGCAACCAGTCAATGTGTCTCTCTCACATCAATGTTTCTCTCTCCCTTTCTCTTTCCCACTCCCCCTTCCTCCCTTCCACTCACTCTAAAAACAAAGGAAAAATATCCACTAGTGAGGATTAACAAAACAAATTTAGACAAATGAGATTTCAGAAAAATATTTTCAATATGCATGATAGAAGGCTAATACTTTAATATGTGGAGAGTTTATAAAAATAAGGAAAAAACATTTACAGAAAAATTGGCAAAGCATATGCACAGTTAATATACAAAAGAAAACATGAGGTCTGAAAATTACTGAATTGGTAGGGATTTAAATGCTTGATAATTCCTAGAGTTAACCAGAGTATAGGAAAATAGATATGTTTATATGCTTTTAGTAGTAGTATAAGTAGTATAAATTAATAGAACCTTCTGAGGTAGTTACCCAAGACTATCCAATTTTTAAATTTATGTACCCTTTTTTTGTTGTTGACAGTATTACAGATGTTCCCCATTTCTCCCTGCCCTTTGCCTTGCGGCACCCAGGCCCCTTCCCACCCTAGGCCTTCACCACATTACTGTCCATGTCCCTGAGTTATGCATATAGACATATATGTTCTATGGTAATCTCTTCCTATTCCCAAATCCCCTCCCATATGAGATCTGTCGGTCTGTTCCATGCATCCATATCTCTGGTCCTATTTTGTTTGTCAGTTTATTTTGTTCATTAGATTCCACATGAATGTGTAATCATGTGGTATTTGTCTTTCTTTGACTTATTTCACTTAGCATAATGACCTGCAGGTAGGAGATCCTTTTTTTTATTACAGCTGCATAGTATTCTATTGTATAAATGTACCACAGCTTTTTTTAAAATATGTTTTTATTGAATTTTTAGAGAGAGAAACATTGATGTGAGAGAGAAACATCAGTTGGCTGCCTCCTGCATGCCCCCTACTGGGTATCGAGCCCAAAACTTGGGCATGTGCCCTGACTAGGAATCAAACCAGGACCTCTCAGTCCATAGGATGATATTCGATCCACTGAACCACACCAGCCAGGCAGCCACCATAGCTTTTTTTTTATTCACTCACATACTGATGGACACTTGGACTGTTTCCTGACCTTACTATTATAAATAACACTGCTATGAACATAGGGGTGAATATATTTCTTCTGGTTGGTGTTTTGGGACTCTTAGAATATTATCCCACAAGTAGGATTGCTGGGTCAAGCAGCAGTTCCATTTTTTAATATCTTGAGGAAACTTCATACTGTTTTCCACAGTGGCTGCACTAGTCTACATTCCCACCAGCAGTGTATTAGGGTTCCTTTTTCTCTATATCCTCATCAGGACTTGTTTGTTGATTTCTTGATGGTAACCATTCTGGCAAGTATGAGATAATACCTCATTGTAGTTTTAATTGGCATTTTTCTGATGATTAGTGATGTTAAGTATTTTTTTCATATATCTATTGTCTTTGGAGAAATGTCTATATAGATCCTTTGCCCTTTTTTTAATCCTCATCCAAGGATATTTTTTCATTTATTTTCTTTTTTTTAAGACAGAGTGATAGGGAGGGAGGGAGGGAGGGAGGGAGGGAGGAAGAGAGAGAGAGAGAGAGAGAGAGAGAGAGAGAGAGAGAAGAGACACATCAATTGGTTGCCTTCTGTATGACACTGACTGGGTGACTGGGGCCAGGAATTGAATCTACAACTGATATACATGCCTTGACCAGAAATTGAACCCATGACTCTTTGGTTCACGGACTGATTCTCTAACCACTGAGCCAAACTGGGCAGGGCCTTTGCCCATTTTTAATTGCATTGTTTATCTTTCTGGTGTTGAGTTCCATATATTTTAGAAATTAACCCCTTATCAGATGTATATTATTGGTGAATATGTTCTACAATACAGTGGATTCCCCTTTCATTTTGTTGATGGTTTTATTTGCTGTGCAGTAGCTTTTTAGCTTTGATGTAGTCACATTTGTTGATTTTTTTTTTCCTGTGTTTCTCTTGCCCTAGGAGATGTATCAGCAAAAATACTGCTATGTGAAATATCTGAAATTTTATTGCCTATGTCTTCTTCCAGGATTTTTATGGTTTTGCAGCTTACAGTTAAGCCTTTTATCCATTTTATTTGTTACTGTGTATGGTGTAAGTTGGTAGTGTAGTTTCATTTTTTTTGCATGTACTTGTCCAATTTTCCCAACACCATTTATTGAAGAGACTTACTTTACTCCATTGAGCATACAGCGGTGTGGGTCAATTTCTGGGGTCTCTGTTTAGTTCTATTGGTCTATAGGCCTGTTCTTGTGCCAGTACCAGACTGTTTTGATTACAGTGGGTTTCTAGTATAGTTTAATATTTGGTATTGTGATCCCCCCAACTTTGTCCTTTCTCAAAATTTTTGCAGCTATTCAAAGTCTTTTTCAGTGCTATATAAATTTTTGGAATATTTGTTCTAGATCTGTGAAATATGCTGTTGGTATGTTGTTGTTGTTGTTGTTGTTGTTAATCCTCTCCCAAGGATATTTTTTTCATTGATTTTTAGAGAGAGTGGGAGAGATGGAGGGAGGGGGGGAGAGAGAGAGAGAGAGATGAGAGAGACACTTTAATTAGTTGCTCCCTGCATGTACCCAATCGTGGCCAAGATCAAACTTGAAATACAAGTGTGTGCCCTTGACCAGAGATTGAACCTGCAGACCTTCGGTGCTAGGGCTGAGTCTTTAACCACTAGCCATACCAACCAAGATACCTTTGGTATTTTAATAGGGATTATGTTGAATCTATAGATTACTTTGGATAGTAGGGACATTTTAATGATGTTAATTCTTGGGTAGTATGGACATTTTAATGATGTTAATTCTTCTATTCCATGAACATGGTACATGCTTCCACTTGTTTGTATCTTCCTTTGTTTCTTTTTGCAGTGTTCTATAGTTTTCTGAGTACAGGTCTTTTACCTCCTTGGTTAAATCTATTCCTAGGTATCTTTTTTGTTGTTGTTGAAATGGTGAATGGGTTATATTTTTAGTTTCTCTTTCTGAAAGTTCATTATTGGTGCATAAAAATGCTGGATGTTATTTAAATTTTTATTTAAAATGTTATTATTTAATTGTATAAAAATTTCTGGATGTTAATTTTCTATCCTGCTAATTTGCCAGAGTCATTTATTAAATTTATTAGTTATTTGGTGGAGTCTTTAGGGTTTTCGATATACAATTTCATGTCATGTGTGAACAATGACAGTTTTACTTCTTTTCCAATTTTGATGCCTTTTATTTTTTTCTTTTTGTCTGATCAT